AATACTTTTCACTGCTTACAGGCAACATAAACATCACCGCATGTGTCTTGTTAACAAAATACCTAACTCTCGTGCAAATTCACTCTCTGCATGGCTCTGGCAGCACGTCATGTATCTATCGAGTACATCAGCCAGGAGTGTAGGCGTCCCTGGCCCCGGAGGGGGGGGGGGGACAACTGATGACGAGTTCGGAGTAGTTTTGCTGTATTAAGCACTGACACTGTTATTTACTGTTAAATGATTGTTGTTAGGTCAGGTTTTATTTGCTATGTGATTTTAATAGCTGTTAACAGTTAATATGTTAAATTTAAATTTCCAATTTGCCTTAGAAACGAAAACAAAAAATTCTCATCATGGACAACTGTTTTGTGTTGTTTGTTTTAAGAAAAAAGTATCAATTCTGGCATCATTTACGCACCGATACTGTTTCAAAAGTATCGATTTTGAAACGGTATTGAAAAGAATCCAAACGATATCCAACCATAATCACTAACAGAATCTAATATGTTAGCTACATGTCTGCATTACACAGTACGAGGATAAACTAATCTCTACAGATGTCACAGATACAGTAACTGACACTGACACATGAATCTATTTACTGTTTTGTCAGCAGATAGAGACACATGTAGCTTCCCCTGCAGAAGACATTAACAGGAAATAATAAGTTAGTATCCGGCCTCTTGCTACATGTAAACACCCTGCACGATGTTAACACGAGTTCGAGGATGTTATGGGTAGGACCTGCCGCTGAGATGATGATGGATAAATGAATGGTTACAGTGTTGTATGTGGGTGTGTACAAGCGCTCGCCAGTGTTTTTGAATTTTTGTGTTATAATCAGTGTCCCCCTTCATCACTGTTCAGGTGTGTGTATAAGAAAGAGAAAAAGAGAGAGAGTTTTGACCTTGACAGGCTCCGGTGCGGATGTTGGGGATGAAGCCTCGTCTGCAGGGGTGTGGCTGGGCGGGGCACTGCTCGCAGGGGTGGCCCCACGCTCGGCCAATGGTGGCGCAGCAGAGAGTTTTAGTGCAGACGATTCCACTGAGCTGGCCCTGGCACATCTGGTTGTTCACCTGGGTGAAACATGGCCCGGTCCGGTAGTCTGTGGTAGGAGAGAGGCACGTATCCTTTGTTAGCTAATGACTGTTTTACCATGTGAGGCATTAAATGATGAAACGATGATTCATTTCCTAGAACACATCTGGTGCAGCACTAAATGAAACCAGAGAATGTGCATGGATAAGAAATTGCCTCTTTGGTCACAAGCCATATTTTCAGTGATATTTAACTAAATGACAAAGCGATAAAAAAAAATTGGCTCCACATTACAGGATGATTTCAGAGAAATTACTCACTGGACCTTTAAACACATTCTCACAGTTTAATTGCTTCAAGTGTTTAGTCTTTAGCGCCACAATTGGCTTTCTAAGACGAGCATTTATAAGTAGCAGGTTTTTACCAGGACTTAAGAGGAACAATATGAGAGTTGGTAGCAACACAAGGGATCGTGTCAGAGCACGAGAGGGCAGACATTATCCTATTAAACCTACTCAGATTAAACCGCACAGCACATCCACGCTGGTTCTTTCAGCAGGGATTTTGCAATAGGATTGGAATGACTGCTATGTATTAAATCTCTGTGATAATAAGTCAGCCCGTTGGACTGAAACACTGAAGCACATTCCACGGCTTTAACTAGGAGTTGATGGTGCACTGAACAGTGGAGGTTTCTGTTTCCATCAATATGACAGTATCAGTAGCCTAATGGCAGCGTGATCATCAGTAACAGTCACCTCATGACAATCATTCACTCTAGACATGAGTGCATCTGTTATTCATTTTGGGGCAACTACATTTTGTGTAACTTTGCAAAAACACACAGGTCAACAACAAAACTTCTTAACACAATATTTCTCGTTTCTAATTTCAGAAATCTCTGACTGTCCGTCTGTATATCTCGAGAACCATCCATCTCCACAATTTACGTGTGTACCGTTAAGGGCCCAATGAATTTGGTCAATTTGGAAATGCAATTTTAATCAAATAGGAATAAACAGGTAACCAGCGCTATGAGGCAACGGTGGCTGGGACTCACTGACATGGCGTTCATGATCATGAGAACAGTGCGTTCACAACAAAAGCAAGAACAACTGATTATCTAGTTAGTGGCTCTGCACTCTGAGTCAAGCATCACTGATCTTTGGAGAAACAGGTGAACAGCTCTTTGTGCAGCAGCTTTAGGGTTCTCTGGACTGAGGCGGCTTAATTACTGCAGGTAGTTTGGGAAAGAAAGATGCAACCACAGGCCAAGCAAACTGCCCATCCCAAACATGCATATTCAGAACGAGCACAGCACAAGTCCTACTGATTATTATCATTTTATGAGATACACAAATTTCTTACAAAAATCAGAGAGATCCCGTTGCACCTCCAGAGAAAGGATGAGCGAACGTAAATACTTTCACTCATTCAAACAGATGTTGCAAGCAAACAGTTTTATGCTAGAACCAAATAAGAACAGAATGTTCCTGGCCTCAACAATCACCTGGCCTCCTCGCTGCCCCCCCGTTTGCCAGTGAAACTGTGGCATAATCTCGTTAAATGCACTTCACAAATCAGACACAATGACCTCATGCTGAAATCATTTCAGCAATACGATGTTCGTCCGTTCAATCACATAGAGCCTAATGATGGCTGTGGGAGAAACCCTTATTAAGTTCTCTGCAGTGGCGCCAAACTTAATGAAACCTTCATTAAAAAAAGTGGATTGTTGTGTCAGCGGAGATGAAAGATGAAGTGCATGGTTGACTGACCAAGGCAGTGACAGTGAGCTGTAGAGAAAGTAAAGCAACCTGTTCAGCTCTGAAGGACAGAGTGGGATGGAAAGATAGAAAACAACGGTGGTGTCTGGTGGTAGTCCTTCTCCAGACTTATTGCCCTTATTGGTTCCTCGTGTTACATGAAAGGAGATCATAGAGGATGGGGAAAAGAGTGGGAGATGCAGAAAGATACAGAGAGAGAGAGAGAGGAAAAGTAAAGGAGGTCAAACTGAGCATGCAGAGTGCAGGTTGGAGCTCACAGCAGTTCCACCCGCTCATCCATCTGTCTTCATTTCTCTTTGCTCACTTTGGGTCTTCCTGTCTGTCTTCTATTCTCTCCTTGTATGTCCATCATACACTTTTTAAACTCACCATGTAGTAGAGGCCAACACATCAAATGTGTTTAATCTGAGCTCTGATACAAAAAAACGTACTGTCATACACACCAGTACACAGATCCCTCAAACAGGTATCAATACAGCTTATCCTTTTGAGGGTCATGGGGGAGATGGAGCAAATCCAAGCTGACATTGAGGCGAGAGGCCGGGGTTACACCCTAGACAGAGTACACAAGGCTGACACACAGGCACAAACAACCATTCACTCATACATTCACACCTACTAATTTAGTCTCCAAGTAGCCTAACCCCAATCAGCATGTCTTTGGACTGTGGGAGGAAGCTGGAGTACCCAGAAGAAAAAGTTAGAAGGGCCATCACCACCCCACTCACTCACACTTGGGTCATCCGATAACATTGAAAAGCCAAACAACTGCCAAGTTCAGCCATGCATGCAGTATATGTACACATGGTTTCTCACACACTGCCCTACTCTCTCTGCTGCTCACACACATATGACACATTCGTATAAGAATGCAAATATTGATCTGTGCAGATACACACATCTGAAGACAAACACACCATCTGTCCGAGCTGCAGCCATGAGCCAAACAAAAGACTGGAGCCGGTTCCTTTGAAAGCAGAAAATAACAAACAGTGAAGAAAAGCTGCTTGTCTCACTGCATCCCAATCAATGTGTGTACTCCATGTGTTCAGACTTTTGTTGTTTGTGTTGTGCACAAATCTGGTTGTGGAAAAAAACAACTTCATGAGTTTCACTCAACACTAACACAACACAAAGCACAAAGGTATGCACATCTGTATATTATGCATGTAAATTCAGTGGACACGAGCAATCATGGGCGCAGGCACATTGGGACAGGACCAAATCCAGCATCCTGATTCAGTCCGACTGACAACATTGGGAAACAATTTTGTCTAATTAGTGTTCAAATAGCTCAGTAGATCAAGAACATTCTCTGTTCCTTACTCCGAACTCCACCGTTAGCAATCTCTGCGCTCCATCTCATCCTGACATCTCTGGTTTCATTCATCCACACAATGAAAAACATCCAGCTTGCCTCACAGAATGGAGTCCCCCTCCTCCGATAATGAGAAAATGTTGTGTCTGACTTAATGGACCCTCCGTTTTACAAGATTTTATTTTGTAAACATCACCACTTCTAATAAAACTACCCAGGAACTGTTGCCAGTGTGTAACACAGCCCACAGTTTGAGAGAGCTGCTGATGCACATCTAACCTCTCACCCAGATCAGTCCACTTAGATTATCCCGCCATTCATATCAGGCAAACGTTAACAGGGTCTGACCCTTCACATGTGATAAAGTTTTCGTAGTCGAGCCAACCATGTCTGATATCTGATACGGCAAAATAACGTGATTACTCATCAAAGCCTATTACTGTTTGCTCTGATGGGAACTGGATCAAACAAAGACAAAATACTGTAAAGGCTAAGGTGAGAAAATGTTTAATCCTGTCTGGAACGCAAAGCCTTCAGGAAAAATGTTCCCATCAGCCCTGTCCAGCTGTGGGATCAGGGGGATGGGGCAGAGCATTGACCTGACCACTAGGAGGAAGGACTGAGAAGAGAAAAAACCCACTTAGGACTCATTAATAACTGCTGAAGTATTTATAAAACTCCCAGGAGGAGAAGTCTGGGTAGATAAGAAACTTGAAATATGAGTTGATTACATGGAAATGAGGCCATTATCATTTGTACATACTTTCCTATGACAAGGGGTCAACAAGTCAAATGAATTAAGTGAAGTGAAATATATGCGTACACAAGACTGTGTGTGTGTGTGTGTGTGTGTGTGCGCGCGCGCGTGTGTGCGTGTGTGTGTGTGTGTATGTGTGTGTGGTGCAGCCTGAGCATATGTCTGGCGGGTCTTGTGGAATTTCTGATTCCATTTTGGTGTTTGTGTCCTTCTGCTAATGTGGATATAAATAAATGAATCAAATGTGTGGGCTCTTTGTTTGCATGTGTCTTAGTGTGTGTGTCTGTCTGTGTCTGTGTGTTTGGTGGGTTTATCTCCATCTCAGCCAACCATAGCAGTCTGTGTTAGTCTTATCAGCACCATTATCAACAGGCTTGAAATCTCCCTTTTCCTTTATACCTAATCATTCCTTAAGGAGTTTGCTCCTTTCATTTCAGCCACACTGAAAGCAGTAAGTTGAATGTGAGCAAATGTGTAACACGGCACAAAAACACACAGACACATTAACGGGGGCCAGCAACTGTGGGAGAATGGAAATTGGAGAGATAAGCCTGCTGCAAAGTAGCAAGATCTGAGAGCCTGAAACCTCCAGTGTGTGTGTGACGGTAACTGCATAGAGCTCACATGACTACGTGGAAGCAACTACATGACATGAGCTGCTTTCAGTTATACACTGAATGTCGGACATTTTCATGAAATGTTCGGGAGGGGCTCTCTGTGAGATTACATACATTTTCCAGAACCTTTCCTGCCAGCCTTCTTGTAAAATGATACGTAAAACTCACTGCGAGCGAGTAGATGTGTTGATGATCTTCTAACAGATGCAAAATTGGGCAAAAACTAATATCTCAGAGTGAATAAAAGGCCATACATGTAGAAGATGCCAACTAAAGATGTCAACTAAGAAAGCCAACTAGAATCGAGAGCTTTTGGTGAAGTGAAGGCTGTGAACAAAAACAAGTGATTTCCACAGTGGAATGTATACGTCATGTCCTGTTCCCTGCGTTCTCTACCCAGACGCCACTCCTCACCTGAATGTTCCAGCCATTTTCCTGGTGTTTTCCCAGAAAATCTCCAGCTGCGTTCTTAATATGTGAAAGGCAAATGTACATATCCAATTTCATGTCTAAAAAAACGTCTTTAGCTTCAAAAACTATCAGGCATTTTAAACATGCTAATTTTGAATGTCTAGACATTTTGTTTAC